AGCAGAGTCTGAAAAGAAACACAAAGAACAGGGAAGGGACAGGTAGCACCAACAGCCCACCCCGCATTTTAGCTTCTCAGGAACCCTTCAGTGCCCACTCCATTTAAAACTGCAACCCCCCAGGATCCACTGACCCCCACACCGCTTCCTTGTTCCACAGCACCGTCACCTGCCAGCTGACCACAGGGTCTCTCAGTGTGCCAACTGCTTCTTTACTGCGTCCTCTTGCTAAAACTGCAAGCTCCTAAGGTCAGGGATATTTATCTGTTTCTTCACTGTTGTTGCCCCCGATGCCTCAGCTAGCTCTTGGCACATAGCAGGCGCTTAGCGAGTGTTTGTGGAGTGAATGAATGAATTAGGCCTGGATAATACATTAGAAAGCAAGATGGCCCTCCTACGTCACTATTGGGTCAGGCTGTGAGTGAGAAAGAGAATGTGGCAAAACGGCTGTAATCAATATGGGCTACGAGGACTATCAAGAAGATATTAAGACCAACCCCCAGCGGATTTCTGGTTCAGAACCCACAGGAGACCAGTGCGATCCAACACGGCGACTAAGTTCACTTGCTGTAACACCCGGTCTCATCGTATGCTCTGTGAGACCCACTGGCACACTAACTGACACGCCCGGTGCCTGGAAACAGACAGCCCATGTGTGGACATGACGTGGCCCACAGTGCTCTTCTGAGGAGTCACCACCCCTCTCCCCAGGAAAATCCCGAATATTCCTCCCCTCGACTGAATGCTCTACCTTTTAATTAAATGAGCCTCAATTAGAGAAACATACCCCACTGGGGGTGGTGGGGGGTGGCTGCTCTGCCTGTGGAGTAGCCTTCTCTCTGTCCCGCTCCTTCACCAATAAGCTCTTTCACTTTAACTCTGTGCTGGATTGCATTTGGATTCTTTCCTGTGTGAAGCCAAGAACCCCAGTGAGTCGTGGGTCCCTGGAGCCCTGGAACACCTGCATCAGAAGGAGCCCCGCAGAGCTGCGCGCTTCCTGACCAGCAGGTAGCCCCGCCTCCTGACCCACCTCCTCAGTCCCCGCAGGCACCTGTGTCCTGGATCCCAGCTAGGACTTGAGAGGCCCCACCTCATGAGGGACAGGCTGTGAGTGTGTCCCCAAGCACCTGGGAGCAGACGGCAGACCACTGTCAACCAGAGTCAGCACATGAAAGTGGCTTTGGACCAGACCCAGCTGAAAGTGTGTATCAAAAGCAGAAACGTGTTTGAGGCCCCCGGCTCTCAGGCAGGAGAGTGAGTGCTGAGAGCTGCTGTGTGGGATGGCAGGGCGGCTGAAATTTACTGGAAATCTGCTACTTGCTCTGGGGCCTGTCCAAGAAGAGGGTTGCTTTGTGTGGGGGACAGCTTCTCTCCCAGTAGGGGTTTGTCACTCCAGGGCACCTGAGGACAACCCTGGCTTGGCCACCTCAGCTTCTCACCTGCCCCATTGACTTTTCCTTTCCCTTCCCTCCCATTGGCCTGGCAGGTTTTTGTCACAACGTTTCAGTGTGTATGAACATCCCCTTGGGAATACTGGAGTTGTAGCAAATATTCACCATATGCAAACACACAGACGTGTGCAAAGCAAGAAAGGGCTGATGGAGACACACAGATGGGGACCGAGATGCACACTCACACACACCACACTCCTTCTCTGTCTCTGTGAGTTACACAATCTTTGCCCCTTCCAACCCTCTAATCACACGATTGGTTCCCCTAGCAACCGGTCCCCCATCTTTAGGGCCTTTCTAAAAATCGCCCATTCACATAAACTCACTTGTGGTTGAAAGAGTCTTGTTAGAAATAACAAGACACCCATTCACCTTCATGGTTCTAAAGAGATTTCAGGAACTGCAGACAGGACACCAAACATTATAACAAAAGAGGCTTCCATTGTTCCTGTCCTTCAGGAAATTCCAAGGGTTTTGGTAGCTCTGTGCCAGCAATGGAGGTGAAGGCCGAATATATTTCTTATGATAAATTACATGATCACAATTAGGTATATTATACTATATGACTGGCACAGCATACCTGTAATATTACTGTTTAGGAGATGGTTAATGTAGGTTATTTAAGTGTGAACAGTAAGTTTATTTAAATAAAAGTACAAAGCAAAAAAAAATAGTTCAGCACAGGACAAAAGTCATGGCAGTAATAAACAGATGCCCAAAGTTTGGGAGATGTTTTTTATATGAGGTGTCGTGTTTTAATTATCTAAGTTCAAACTTGGAAATTAATATAAGCAATAAATAATTTCTGTCAGTCCCTCTCTTTCCCAGTTATGGTTCCACAAAGACACTGGGGATTCAGCCATTCATTTATTCAGTCATCAAATATTCATCAAGGGCCTATCAGCTAAGGTTTAGGCAGACAAAGAGAACACAGGGCTGCCCTCAAGCTGCCCCGCGCAGTCTGTCAGGAAGACGAGGAAGTCATCCTCTCAGCCGGGTCTAGGAAGAGCTCACTCAGAGGTGTCCGATCACAGGTCAGGAGTCACCCACTGGAGACTGCGGCAGCGGAGCTAAGTTTTGAAGGACAGGAAAAACTTCGCCAGATGAGAAAGGGTGGTGCCTCTCAGGCAGGGCGGACGTCATTGCTGAGCGTACACTGTTAGTCGGCAGAGTCAGCCCTGCTAGTCGGTAGAGTCAGCCCTGCTAGTGTCTGACCCATTGTGGCTGACACCAGCCCCCCAGTGACGGAGGCTGGAATCAGTCCTGAGTCCTGGGCTGCCCGGCATATCTCCGTTATATTCACCAAGGTGCTCTTGCTTTGGGCTCTGCTTGGTGTAGTAAAGCAGGCTGTGGGTTCTTGAGTTGCTCTCCCTGGGACCAGACTTCTGCTCCCTGCCCACCTTGGCCTTGACTTGGATTCTTGCACTTCCTGCCTATTAGACAGATCACCCAGAATCTTGACGTCACCGCCTGCCTGACGTCAAATACGGCCAATATTCAGATACCCCTGTTGCAACAGCGTAAGAATGAGAGCCTGCACTTATCAAGCCCTTCCTCCATGTCAGGCTTGCTTTATGCTTATGCCATGCATCATATCATTTGGTCACTGGAACAACACTGCAGGATGTTATTATTACTTCCAAGTGATCATTGAGAATGTGGAGTCTTTAAGAGTTTAAGGAACTTACTCGAGAACGTGCTTAGTAAATGGTGGAGCCAAGGTGCATGCTCAATATTCTGAAACTAAGACCTGTACAATTAACCACTGTGCTTCACCACCACTCCCCACAGTGGCTCTGCAAACCCACTGGTGTTGGCCCAAGAGTTGAGGGCCTTGGGATACTGATTTGGGTGACAGGCAACCCTCTGTCTCTATGAGCAGCAGCCCCAGAAAGGATGAATGGCCTAGTCTTATCCATTCCTGTCTTCCTTTCCTTTCCAATAACCGAGAGCTCCCAGCATGCCTCATTACCAGCCTGAACGGGCTCTAACCACTGACTGCACTCTCAGGGAAGTAGACTGGCTGAGGACAAGGAGATCAGAATCCCAACCCAGTTACCAGAAGGGGCTCCACATAGCTTATATTTCCCATCTTTGGAAGTCCCTCCATGTTTTAAGTCCTGGGTCCAGAAATCTTGGCTTTCAGGTCAGGCAAGAAATCCTGAAATATTCAATGCCTTCTGGAGATCTTAGGTTTTCTCCAAAGCATGCATTCCATCAAGGAAAGCTGCTAACCCTCGGTGTGTAGGGCCTTGGAGGTAGGCCGGGAGTGGGGCATGTGGGCTCTTAGGAAGAACAATAAATGAAAGCAAAGAAGCAGCCTCACACCCAGTCCTGACTCCAGGGGTAAAAACCTTCCCTTTCGGCCCTATGTCAGGCCATTTCCCAGGCAAGCCAGCCTCACCAGGGCACCACAATGGGTCCCAGTGTGGCTGAACGGGGAGTCCCACACCAAGAGAAGATGTCATCGAGCTCTTGGGGAGGGTGGAGCCACTGTGGGCCGCCAAGGCATAATGCACAAGCCCTGTGGGTGGCATAATGTGGTATTTATCTCCCTCTCTATGCACAGAGGGGACAGGAGGAACAATCCAGACTCTGTCAGCAAGGTCCTCTGGGGAGTTAAGGCCTCACTAATGAAGATGAATAAGAGGGGGGATCTGCCCTTCATGGCCGCTGCTTTTGCTACATACATATTCATGGGCTGGAGGGACGGCTCCTGGGAACGATCCATCCTCTGTGGAGATGACAGGGGCCGAGGTGTGGCCGTGCTAATCCACACTTGGGGTGGGTGTGTCTTGTGGGGCAGTGAATAAGGACTGTCCAAGAAACACTCTTCAATACATGGAGTTTCCAAGGTAAAACCTATTCCTTTGCCTGCTGTAGACATAGAGTTCTGATGTGAGTTCAAGGACCCCTGAAGAACATACTTCTCAGCTGAGTTCCAGAAGCGAGCCCAATTTTGCTCCTTCCGACTCAGTATCAGCCAGCAGCAGCCCCTGCCCTGTATCTATTCTGCCTGGCTCGGCCCTATGGAACTTGCTGGAGGTCCCACGTGAGAGTTATAGGTACACCTGAAGGCTTAGGACACATGGCCTTATTCTCCGAACCTCCTTCCATCTGGCTCTTCCATGACGTCCCCTCAACTAGGACTTTTAGGAAACAAACCCTTGCCTACCATAGACTTCCAGGGTTTAGAAAGATGACCTTGGTAGGAGATTAGACGTTGTTGGGGGAATACGGACAAAACGCTTGGGCATCTGCACCACGTGTCTTCAGAAGAGAGTAAATGTTGACTCAGAACCTATACACACCATCATGTTTGAAGTTAGTGGATTTGTTCTGGAGTTATAGATATTTTCATATTTAAAATGTTTCATTTCCTGTATCGGGGAGCTCAGCCTCAGTCCCCAGGCAGCAAAACCGGAAGAATACACACTGAGCCATAAATCAAGCCCCCTCTCCGCAGCTGGCCTCCTGTAGGTTTTGACTGAGCCGCAGGCTAGTACTTAGTTGCAAGACAAATGTCTAACAGAGCTCGCGCAGCCTTACCTGCCTTTCTGACATGATGTAGAGTTGCTCGTGGTCCTTGGAGAAGGCCATGTCCCGGAGCACAGGGCCAGGGTCCACCACCTGCATGGTCTCGTACTGCAGGGCATTGCCCTTGGGCCCATCCACCCGGATCTGAGGAGAAGAGAACCGAGGTGAGTTCAGATCCTGCCCTGCTCACAGCCAAGCTGCAGCCCAGACACCCTCCCAGCAGCCAGGGCAGAGGCAGTGAGCTGTCTCCACAGTGCCCAGAGGCCAGGCCCCGAACAGCAGGAGGGCCCAGGGCGCCATGGCCTTATTCGAGGAATGGCCAAAGTGGGTGTGGGGGAGGGGACAATGAAAACCAGGCTTTACCAAGAACTGGTATTATTTTCTCTGCTTTCTGGCACCTCAGGTAAGCTTTGGAGGGGAAGACGGTGCTGGTGGTGTGGAATGGACCTGGGACTGGGGAGCAGTGGACTAACTGAATCTGCATCTGATCAGAGTGTCATTCTGTAACAGAAAGGCAACAGTATTTGCCATATTTATGGGATAAAACATGAAGGTATAACTGATTTTTTTTGAAATTGGTACCCAGCTAACTCTGCTGCACCTTGGAGGTTCTATCGACTGGTTCCTTGCTTCCTGGAAGTTTTGCGCCGAGTTGGCTCATGCTGGCCGTTGAAACCAATGGCTCGTGCCTCCGATTTTGGAGTAGTTGGAGAGTCCTGAAACCTCCTACATGTTCTGTTTGTGTCCCCAGGGAAGGGGACACGGGCATTCCAGGAAAATGTGCTTTGGGCATGAGTCATCCTCACCCTTCCGAGAACAAAAGCACTTAGCAGATAGATTGTCCCTGCACCATCCACCAGTGCTTCCTAGAACTGCTTAGGCAACATGCAGACAACCAGGAAAGAACTTTGCCCGTACCCACCATGACAAAGGACAGATCTGAAAAAGCTAGGCACACTCTAGAATCAGAATCATCCCAAGTCTGAGCTGACAGATCTGACGTGATCCCTCCCCAGTGCTAATAATGCCACTCACGTGAGTCAGGACGGAATGTTACTGACAATGTGGGTGGGGGGGACCCTGGAGGGAGGTGGGGAGGGGCAAGAGTGAGGGGATTGCCAGACTTGATTAGATATCATGTGTACAAGACTGTAAAATACCCACAGTGTAATTCTAGAGATTTTAATAACAAACCTAAAGAAAAACACCATTCCAAATATTCCCACGATGGACTCTTATTTTTAATTTTTAATGTTTAATTTTTAACTTCTCATAAGATCAAGGAGAACAGAAGAGTTATTCGGAGGAACTAAATCACCGCAGGGGCGCCACAGCGATGACAATCGACCGACCACATCGCTTCACCTGCAAGTCGGCTGCCTCTCATCTCCGCTGAATTCCCTGAACTCTGACGCCAGGGTAGTTTGTGATTTGTGTGTGCAATTTTAGGTTTGTCCTAGGATCTGTTTTTTTTTTAACTTTTAAGCATTATTCTTAAGCTCTTCCTAGACATCAGGAAGGTGGTTTTGTATATACTTCTTCATTATATACCTCTTAATCTTAAAACTTTGGTGTTCATCTGTCATGACTTGCATGACCCTCCAGCATCCATTCCATCCTCTCTCACCTTTTGGGTGGGATTGGAACAACTCCCTGCTCCCTGGGTGGTCCCTGGTGGGCCTAAGCAAATCCATGTAATCTAACTCTCTTACCACAGTGATGGAAAGAAAGCATGCCCAAGTCAATCAACATGTGTGATCAGAGCAAAGCAGAGTCTGTGGTCATTGATGGGAGAAGAGAGAATCTCTCCTCACCCTCAATGGATCAAAAACAGGGAGCTCAAAGAACTGTTGGCAGCCCTTTTGTGCCAATGAGGGGAGCTGGAATCAGAAAAGGTCAAGAGCAGAGTTAGAAAAAAAATTATTTTTTTGGTGATGTCCCTGAGCCACTGAATCAAAATAACCCCAAAGCCTTTCCTATGTGGGGACTTTCTTGTTACTCAAGAGATTCCCTGATTGTTAAGTTAACATCCAAAATCCTAACTGATATAGAGATAGTAGATGAAAAAAAAATGAGACCCAGGTACATTAAACAGCTGGCCTGAGCTATAGAACCTGGGGAGAGAGCCCTGACATGAGAGACCTGTTCCTTGATGGGTCTCACAGTTGCTTCCTGGGGTATGACCTACCACAGGGAGCCAAGGTCACTGTCTGTCTCTGGTCTGTACCATCCCAGTGGCTTTCACCAGTCATTCCTGATAGTGATGCTTAAATACTTGAGCTTGACAAATACTGACTTTTAAAAGTGAAGAATATATTGATGAATTTAAAACTCCTCTTTGCTAATTTCCCATTAAGTTCATTAAACAACAGGAGCAACAAAAACTAGTAAAGGAATTGAAGACAGATCTGTTTAGCTCTAAAAATCAAAATGCCTTAAATTCCAATGACCCTCCTGTTGCCTGTGCCCACCCCCAAGCCATCAGACATCTACCTGGCGCTGACTTAATCTGAATGAAACGGGACTTCATGCAAAGCCAATTGGGATTACCACCCAAGTCTGACTGCGTGGTGATGGCCTTGGCCCCTGGCCCACCCAGGCTTCACCTCCAGCTGTGGGCCACCTCTGGAGCAGCAACGGGAGAGTGACAAGAGTGATACTAAGCACCCTGGCTGGTCTCCAGTGCCCTCAGGCTGCTGGCAGGACCTGGCTCCCCAAGGGAAATTGGATTCAGTGCTTGAGTGATCTATGTCCTTTGGTTCCAAGTCCCCTGTTCTTCATGGTGAGGTGTTGTGCTGAATGGTGGACATCAGAGGAAAAGCAGGGACAGAGGGATGGACCAGGGAGCATCCACAGGGCGAGTTCTCACAGACCTGGCCTTCCCCAGGGAAGCAAGACAGAGTTATGGCTCCCCTTCTGCTCTCTGGGTAGGAAATCAGTTATTGGAAAGACAGGTAGGTCTCCCTCTCCCCCACCTCACCCAATCTACAACTTGTTTCAGAAAACAGAGAGGAAAGCATCCATGCATCCATCTGCAGAAAGAATCTCACATAAAACATGGATAAACCTGGCTGGCGTAGCTCAGTGGATTGAGCTCGGGCTACGAACCAGGCATGGCAGGTTTGATTCCCAGTCAGGGCACATGCCTAGGTTGCAGGCCATGGCCCCCAGCAACCGCACATTGATGTCTCTCTCTCTCTCTCTCTCTCTCTCTCTCTCTCTCTCTCTTCCGTCTCTAAAAATAAATAAATAAAATCTTTAAAAAAACATGGATAAAAGGTATTTGTGATGAGATTTGCTGAACAATGGAGAATCATAAAATTTAGGTAGGATGGACCAGCTGCCAGCTCTTGGGCTGTTGCAGTAACAACAGCAGCAAGAGTGGTTGATGACTCAGTCGTACTATGTGTCAGGTATGACGCTTGGCATTCTACCTGCATTTACCTTCGCATTTAAATATCATCATAATGATGATAGTGTAATAACTTTGCATGGTGATGGATGGTTACTAACCTTAGTGTGATGACCACATCGTAAGGTTTATAAATGTTGAATCGCTATATTGTATACCTGAAGCTAAGATAATATTGTATCCTAACTATACCTTAATAAAAAATAAAAATAATAAATCTCATAGCTCTGTGAGGTAAGCATTAATATTATCCCATTTACAGAAGAGGCACAAAGAGGGTTAATAACTTGTTCACGGTCATGCAGCTAGTGCACGGCATGGCTTTGACCCACACCAAGGTCTGGCTGATCCCAGTGTCCGTGCTCCTGTGCATTTACATACTGCACTCTGGGGTAGATAAGCCTGAATCCCTTCAAGGGCCGGAAGCGGTTGGTGTGAAGCAAACCACCCTGGGCGTGCCAGAGGAACCCTGTCTACGGCATGTGTCTACTGAGTTCTTCGGGGAGAGACTCAGGCCTGGCAATGCAGAAGAGGCTGGTGTAAATTTTCCAAACCATGCTCCCTCCTATTTGTGTTTTATGCCTCTCGAAGTGCTCTTAAATAACATGGTTTCATCTGACGGTTGTAAAGTGTGTATGACGTTGACTGCCAGCATTGACATTCTCATTCCATCGACCAAGCAACCGAGATGGGGGTGTTCTGCGCCTCGCCAAAAATTCAGTGATAAACCAGGGACATTCAGGGCTAGAACCCAGGTCTCCTGATTCATTGCTCAGCACTTGCCTCTGAGCTATTCAGATTTTCCGAAAGCCTTGGACAAGGTTCCATGTGAAGAAGGTAATGAAAAGTAACGAGCCTCCACGGGACTTCGGGCGGTGTGGCCGTGGAGAGAGAGCTGAGTCAGAGACAGAAACAGGCACGTTTCTGTGCGGGGAAGTGGGAACCTGGGGACTCCCAAGCACAGTGTTATGACTAGTCTCAACGTTATTTTTTGTAAGTGGTCTGGAGCAGGGAGCAGGAAAATGTGCAGAATAGTCTGAGCTCTTAGGGAGAGCAAGAAAGCCAACGACGAGACGAAACACAGGAAGATGGTGCAGGGCCAGGGTGAGGGCAGCTGCACGTGGGTGAGCAGACCTGGGACTGAGAGTCGTGGAGTCAGAGGTCAAGCCTGCCGCTGCCGGCACGGCAGCCCCACGGCATGGCTCAGGACCCACGAGTGGGTCAGTGCTCGGTAAGTCGTTACTGACAAGCGTAGCTGAGGGCGTGGGGAACAGGAAATCCTTACACACTGTTGGTGGGAAGATCACTATGGAAAACAGTATGGAGGTTCTTCAAAAAATTAAAAATAGAACTACTACACAACCCCACAATCCCACTGTTGCGTGTATATCCAAAGGAAGTGAAATCAGTATCTCAAAGTGGAATCGCTACTCTCTTATTCATTTAGGCATTACTCACAATAGCCAAGATATGGAAAAACCTAACTATCTGTAAATGGATAAAAAAAATATATATATATAATTCAGCTTTAAAATAGAAGGAAACCCTGCCATTTGCAACAACAAGGATGGAACTGGAGAACATTATGCTAAGTGAAATAAGCCAGACACAGAAAGACAAACACCGCATGATCCCATCTATATGTGGAAGCTAAACTAGTCAGACTCGCAGAAGCAGAGTAGAGTGGTGGTTGCCAAGGGCTGGGGGGCAGGGCGGGAATGGGGAGACGTCT